CGTTTCGGGAGAGCCCTGGTGGTTCTTTGGACTGCACCGGAGCGGTGCCGAGGCCCTTCGCGATCCGTGAGCACTCTTCGTGGACCGCCAAGCCGCGCTCTGGCTCGGGTGCCCTGGTACACGCGTGGGGCAGTGCGGCCAGCCAGCCCCCCGAGAAGCGCCCGGTGCGCAAGACCCCCCGAACTGATGAGCAACGCAGCCCAGGGGCATCCCGGAGGTGGCGCGGATACGACGCCGCGGAGCGCACACACTCCTGACGGCAGGATCAGCTCCACGCCAACCGCTCTCCGCCCCGAGGCCACCAGCCTGGTACGACGCCTCGGATCGGCTTGACTGCAAGCCGCGGCCCGGGGTGGTGTGGCACCCCACCTGGGATTGCTATACTGACGCGAGGGAGGACTGGTCTGAGGTTGTCAACCGCCTCAAAGAAGAATGTGGCCCCATGCTGGCGATCGGCTAGAACGTCGTCTGTGATCAGGCGGACGGGCCGCCCTCTACCAAAGACCCCAAGCGGCACTATCCCGAATTCTGTCAGGGTTTTGTGCACGAGCTCAGCCATGCCAATTACGATGTCCGTACCCTTTGCGGGCGCAACGGCATCCGAGTCGACTGGGACGCCGAGTGGTATCGGGAAGTCGACAAGAGGAGGCAAAGCGCCGAGCTTGCCAAAGACAAAGGCAAGGGGCCCCTGCCGCAGGGAAAAGCCAAGCGGCCAGCTGACACGTCCACTCGCCAGCGCTGGTCAGCCCCGAACAGCCACCGCTGGTAACCCCCCCATGGCTGGCGCGGTATCGCGACCTGTTCTGAGTCCGGCCGTCTCGGCTTTCGGCAGTGGCCCGCCGGCCCACTGCCTCCCTTCCTTCGCCCTCGCTGCCTCCTTTCGCTTCACTTCACCTATTCGGTGCCCCCCCCCGCAGGCCTCCAGCTTCCGCTCGCGGTCTGCCTCTTGACGCCGCCTGGCGCGGATGGCCCTGCGGCCACCGCCTCCGCCGGGCTCCCCCTCGCACCGTCCCCTCGGCACGTCCTATCCGTGCCACTGCGAGGTCCATCGCGTCGCCAGGGCACTTCCCCCGCGACCTCTTTAGCGCTGCTTGTGCCGCCTTCCTCGGAGGGGCCCCCATGCGCTTCGGTGGGCTGGACTTGCCGTCCGCCCCTGGCCTCGCGCTCCCCCCCGTTTCGCTCCCACCTCGCTCCCAGAGTTCCCTGCTCTGCCGCTGCATCCCCCCGCTCTGCTGGGGGATCGCTGACCTTCTGCAGGTTTTGTCCAGGCAGGGCGAGAGCGCGATTCCTAAGTAAAGTGTGACGGCGTCCTTGGTGCGAGCGTGGTGCCTGAGCGTAGATAGTACGAATTCTGAATAAACTGCGACACAGTCACAGGCGAGACCGCAATTCCTGAAAAGGGGACGTCTCGCGGGAACGGGGGTCTAGACTAAAGCGCAGGGAAATCTTAAGCGGGAGCGCCGTTCTTGAGTAAATTGTGAGGAAGCCTCAGACGGGAGGTGTGGTCCTGACTAAATTGCGAGGAAGTCACAGGCGGGAGCGCCGATCCTGAGTAAATTGGGAGGAAGTCTCAGGCGGGAGCGGGGGTCTTGAGTAAAGTTGGGGGAAGTTTCAGGCGGGGGCCGTTGTTGTTGTAGTCCGGGGGAGCAGCAACGCAGTTTGACCCGGCCTAAATTGTGAGGAAGTCTCAAGCGGGAGCGCCGTTCTTGAGTAAATTTGAAGGATCTAGACGCCCGAAATGGGTACTGAAAGAATGGGTACCATGCCGAACAGCGGATCTTGTTCATTTTGAACAGGGCTCGCTGTCCACGCCGCCGGTGCCTGTGTCCATTCGAGACAGAAGGCCGCCTGCTCAACAGCGGCCGCTGTTGGTTTGGGACAACATTTGTTGTTGGGCATTGTACCCATTCTTTCGGTACCCATCTCGGGTGTCCAAAAAGGAAGTCTCGACGGGAAGGGGGGTCCTGAGTAAATTTGGAGGAAGTCTGAGGCGGGAGCCGTTGTTGTTGTAATCCGGGGCGCCAGGGGGACAGTTTGAGCACCGAGACTTTCCCTGTAAAAAACGGGGTGCGAACATCGAGGGGCACACTTTGATTGAGAAAAACAATATGCACCTGTGAGTGGGGATCAACAATAATTATTCTTCAGGCATGGGAGTTCAACAACAACACCAACACCACCACCACCAACAGCATCAACAACAACAATCATTTTAAGACTGTTCGCTCTTACTTGCCCTGGTGCCATGCAACGTGTATACCCACGCCCTCGATACCCGCCCCCTTCGTCTTCGAGCGTACCCCCTTCTGGAGGATTCTTTTTTTTTGCGGGGGCGGGCGGGCTTAGACAAGCGGGCGTGAACGGGCGGGGAATTATTCGGAGGATGGGGCACGCATCTCTTTGCCCACCATTGGAATTAGCGCGGGCCCTGCAAGAAGAGGAAGGGGGAGAACGAGGGAGAGTGGGAGGAAGGGAGGGGGAGGGACGAGGCTCAAGGGGAACACGCCAGGAGAGAGGGGGCGAGGAGGGGGGGGGGGGCGATTGGAGATAGAGAGACAGAGGAGGCAGGAAGGAGGAGGCTGGAGAGGGGAGGGCGAAGAGAGGAGGGAGGAGGGTTATGGGAGGAGGGTGAGGGGAGAGAGGAAGAGGGAGGAGGAGGGTGGATATGAGGGAGAGGGGAGGGAGGAGGGAGGTTGGATGGGGAGGAAGGGGCAGGAGGGTAAGAGTGTGAACGTTCGAGGAAGTCCTAGGCGAGGGCGTATTCCTCAAGGAAGAGTTGGGCGGGAGCGGGGGTCCCGAGTACATTGTCGGACGTCTCAGGCGGGAGCGCCGGTCGGGCGGGCGGACCCTGACGGGCGGGTCGGGCGGGCGGGACATTCAAACGGGATTTTTGCGTAAATTGCGAGGAAGTATTAAGCGAGAGCGCGATTCCTAAGTAAATTGCGAGGGCGTCCTTGGCGCGAGCGTGGTTCCTGAGCGTCGAGAACGCGATGCTGCAATAAATTGCGAGGAAGTCCTAAGCGAGAGCGCCATTCCTGAGTAAATAATGAGGAAGTCTCGGGCGGGAGCAGGGGTCCTGATTAGGAACGTCTCAAGCGGGAGCGCCGTTTCTGAGTAAAATGTAAGAAAGTCTAAAGCGGGAGCGCCCTTCGGAGTAAATTTTGAGGAAGTCTCAGGCGGGAGCGGGGGTCCTGAGTAAATTGTAAGGAAGTCTCAGGCGGGAGCCGTTGTTGTTGTAGTCCGGGGCCCAACAACGCAATCTGATCCGCAAGGCTTTCCCTGTCAAAAAAACAGGGTGCGAGCCCCGGAGGAAGCATTTCAATTGAAAAAAAGCAATGGGCACCTGACAGGGGGGATCAACAATAATTATTCTTCAGAAATGAGAGTTCAACAATAACAACAAGAGCAACAGCAGCAGCAGCAGCCACAGCCACAGCAACAGCAACAGCAACAGCAACAGCAACAACAACAGTAACAGCAACAAAGACAATAACAAGCAACTCACAACACAACAGCAACAATCCGCATCACAGAAACTCACTTCAGCCACGCGCTCATGGACAGTGAATGACCGTTCGGCCCCTTCACTCTGACAAATTATGCAACGAGCCTGCCGCAGGCGCCGATTTTCTCGTTAAAGCAATGTAATGTTGGTGGGTCGCGGGGTGGGTCGCAGGTGGGTCGCGGGTGGGTCGCGGGTGAGTCGCGGGGTGGGTCGCGGGTGGGGCGCGGGGTGGGTCGCGGGGTGGGTCGCGGCTGCGTCGCGGGTGGGTCGCGGGGTGGGTCGTAGGTGGGTCCTGGGTGGGTCGCGGGTGACCGGGTGGGTCGCGGGCGGGTCGCGGGCTGGGTCGCGGGGGGGGCGACGACAACAAACAGCAACAAACAACAACACATAAACAACAAGCAGTAATAACAACAACACCAACAATAACACCAGCAACAACACCACCACCAACAACACCACCAACAACAACAGCAACATCAGCAGCAACAACAAGACACAACAACAACAGAAACACTAACACTTACAACAGCAACAACACCAGCAACATTAACCATGCTAACGATATCAATACTCGTACATGTCCATATTCATACACCACTAATAGTAACAGTTCTAATATTTTACACTAATCATACGAGTAATAGTAGTAGTACTACTCATAGTACTAGAACTCATAACAGCAAGGACAACAATCCGCACCGCAGAACCTCAGTTCAGCCACGAACCCAGGGACTGAACGACCGTTCGGCCCCCTCACTCTGACAATGTGTCACCGAAATGGTACGCGAGAGCCCTAACGGGCGGCGGGTCGGGTCGGGCATGCGAGAAACCAAATGGGCGGGTCGGGTCGGTCGGACGGACCTTCACGGGCGGGTCGGGTTGAGCGGACGGGCCCGCACGGGCGGGACGGGTCGGGTGGGCGGGCCCAGGCAGGTCGGGTCGGGTGGACGGACCCTGGCGGGCGGGACGGATCGGGCGGCCGGGATACTACACTAGAATGCGTCATCGAGGTAGCTCGCGAGAACCCTGGCAGGCGGGTCGAGTCTGGCGGGCGGACCCTAACAGGCGGGTCGGGTCGGGCGTGTGGCGGGCGGAGCTGACAGGGCGAAACCGACTGGGCGAAACCGAACGTGGGCGAAACAGACCAGGCGAAGTCGACCGCGGGCGAAAACGACGTAGGCGAAATCGATGGGGCGAAACCGGCTGGGCGAAATCGACGGGCCGAAAACAACTGGGCGACACCGAAACTGGGTAAAACCGACCAGCCCCGTTCCACCGACGAACGCGCCGCTGTTACCGCCGGTGCGACCGTTGTCACTGCCGCCGCCGCCGTTCTTGCATCTGCTGCAGGTGCTCCTCCTACTCCCCCTCCTCCTCCCCCTTCTCCTGTCCTCCTCCTCCCTCCTCCTCTCCCTCCTCCTTTTCCCCCTCCTCTTCCTCCTCCTCCTCCTCCATATCTTCCTCCTCCTCCTCCTCCCCTGCTACCACTATGGCTCATTGTCGTCGTTGTCGTCGTCGTCGTCCTCGTTCTTGTCGTCGTCCTTGTCGTCGTCGTTGTCGTCGTCCTCGTCGTCGTCCTTGTCGTCCTCCTCCTCATCCTCGTCGTCGTCCTCCTCCTCCTCCTCCTCCTCCTCCTCCTCCTCCTCCTCCTCCTCCCCTGCTACCACTGTTGCTCCTGGTCGTGGTCGTTGTCGTTGTTGTCCTTCTCGTTCTTGTCGTCGTCGTTGTCGTCGTCGCTGTCGTCGCCCTCTTCGTCGTCCTTGTCGTCCTCCTCATCCTCGTCCTACCTTCTGGTCCTTTCTCCTGCTCTCCGTGACGCTGCCAGGGAGGGGGAGGGGAGGAGGGCGAGCACGACGAGGGACAGGAACACGAGGAGAGAGGAATGGTCATGACGAGGAGCAGCAGCAGCAGCAGCAGCAGCAGCAGCAGGAGGAGGAGGAGGAGGAGGAGGAGGAGGCGGAGGAGCAGCAGCAGCAGCAGCAGCAGCAGCAGCAGGAGGAGGAGGAGGAGGAGGAGGAGGAGGAGGAGGAGGAGGAGGGGGAGGAGGAGGAGGATCAGTGTAAACCCAAGAGGCATCAACGATGTTTGAATAAACCCTCCCTCCCAGCTCCCTCTTCATATGCCCCTACAACGGTTCATTTCCATTGACGGAACTGCCTCTTTGGAAGACAACCGTTCGAAGACCCTGGTGCATGCCAACAAATTGTCCTCGGGATTCCACTGCCACGGATCAACCTGACTGTTGCGTCTTGACAATCCTGAGTCGTGCCAGAACGCCATCCTTGGGACTCCAACACAGCGGATAAACATAACTGTTGTACCAGCATGATCCTGAATCCTCTCAGAACATTATTTCTGGCACGTTGATGATGGACATCCGTGAAGCTCTTGCAATTTGTTAAAACGAAAGTGCGCCGCGCTACGGTGAGAGCCACATTTTGAAAAAGAACCGCCCTCAATCCGTGAAGCTCTTGCAATTTGTTAAAACGAATGTGCGCCGCGCTATGGCGAGAGCCACATTTTGAAAGCCGCACTCAATCCGTGAAGCTCTTTACAAATTTTTAAAAAAGAATGTGCGCCGCGCTGAGGCGAGAGCCACATTTTGAAAACGACGCGCCCCCATTTGTGAATCTGTTGCCAATTTCTAAGCTTCAGGGTCATAGATGGTGAGGAAGTCTCAGGCGAAATGCTCGGCCCGCCCTGAAAACTGGCATTCGGGGTGCGCCAGGGAGAAGTCGTTGATAAGGAAAGAGAGTTGAGAAGGAGGAGAAGGCGGAGGAGGAGGAGGAGGAGGAGGAGGAGGAGGAGGAGGAGGAGGAGGAGGAGGAGGAGGAGGAGGAGGAGGCGGAGGAGAGGGAGGAGGAGGACCTGGAGGAGGAGCAGGAGGATGAGGGGTGGAGCCTCCGAGCTGCTCACGGCAGGGTGGCCTGGCCGCGCGCGGCTGAGGCCGGCGGCGGATCCTAAGCTGCCGGCGGAGAGGACATCGGCGAGGGCCAGCCTCGCCGAGCGAGACCGCGGCGGGCCCCGCGCTCTCCCGGGCCGCGGGAGCTCCTCGGGCCCTCCAGGGCTTGTTCGGCGGGCTTCCCGTGGCCCCCACTCCAGGACAGATGCTCACCACCCGCCAAGCCGCCCCACCCCAACCCGAAGGCCTCAATTAGCCCTCCATTCCGAGTGGGGGGGCGGGTCGGGGAACATCGAAAAACACATATGGAGCCCATACCCCCCCCAACCCGAAATTCGGGTCTTCGGGTTGGGTTGGGGTGGTCTGGTGGGTAGTCAGATGCGTGTCGCTCGCGGCGGAAAGACCCCTCCTCCTCGCCAGCTCTGCTCGAAGAAGAAGAAGAAGAAATGGTATGAACGTCCACTTGTGGCGCTCCGCGCGGACTTCTTGCATCCGCGCTGGGCGCCCCCTGACGGCGCTTCTGGCGCCGCCCTCGGCGCGCTCCTCGAGCCGGCGAGGGGGGTCCAGCGCGGATCCAGAGATCCGCGCGGACCCTCGAACATCTATGCCTGCTTTGCGCCAGCTTTGCCTCGTCCTCTATCCTCGCCAGCTTTGCGCGGCTGCCGCGTCTCCTGCCCGGCCCGTGGGGGGGGGGGGGGGGGCGCGGGCGCACCGCCCCTCCTCGTTCCGTCCCACCGCAGCCCACGCAGTTCTGAGTGAGTGGCTCTTCAGATGCCTCGAGGCGGCCTGAGGGGAGCGTCGGCCACGCGCGGAGGGGGGTCGGGGGAGGGGGGAGCTGCCTTGCCCCGAGGTGGGGTCTGGGGAGGGAGCCCGGCTGGGTGCTTACGTTTCCTCCCTAAAGCGGGCCGCCCGTGTAGCGATCGTCCTCTAGTAGCCCCACCTCTGCCCCGACACCACCTCGGCGTCCCCCCCCGGAAGAAAACTTCCGACGAGGGCCGCCCCTTCGCACTTCCCTCCCCTGGGCGCGCCGCGGATCCCCCCTCTTCCCCGGAGGCCGGCACTACCGTGCAGCCTCACACGGCCTCCGTGTTTG